ACTTCTGAAAATCCTGGTACCAAAAGGGATCTTGTCCCTCTGAGAACAGGGTGCAGTCCACACCTGTGCTTAACTGTTCCTGATATTGGGAAAGCACCAGCAGGTAGAGGGGAAACACTCTCTGAAGGAGGGCAGAAGTCCCAACAGGAATAACTGCTCTCTACTGATCCCAGGCAAAACAGATCTGAGAAGCCCCTGCCAGTGCCCAGAGAACCTGGGCTGCCAGATATCCCCATCATGGTGGAAACCATTTTTCTGTCCTAGGGCTCCTGAGTTGGGCAGGACAATAATAGGAGGGCCTCAGTGCTTTTTCACACTTTGCAAAACTGAGTCCAAGAGGCACAAATTGAAGGGCCATAAGGCAGGCTACTGGCTCAGAGGCACACAGGCTAGAACCAGAGCCCTCACTTTGGGTCAAGGAAAAAGAAGGGCAGAAACAATCCCTCCCAAGCTATTGGCCACTTACCTAAAGTATTCAGTCTCCTTCATCATCCCCTTGCACTTGTCCAAGGCATCACTCATCTCCATGGGCAATTTATGGAGAGCTGACATCACCTGCTTGTGTTCTATTTCAAGCATCGCAATTTTGAAATTCAGCCTGTGGTAGGGCATGGCCCCAGGAGAAAAGCAGCCCATGAACTCAACAAGAATCACATAAATGAGGCTGTGTCATGGACTACTCCAACACAGTGGATGCCACAGCCTGGCATTTAAACACTGGGACCTCCTGGTTCTTAGTAAACATCCTATCCTGTCCTCAGGACACAACAGCCAGGAGGTTTAAGGGGTTGGGGCCATTGCTGCTAGCACCCTCAGTGTGCTGGAGCCTTAGATAAGCACTCTAAGAAGTTCCAAGGATTCTGTGCCACATATCTGGACATACAAGAAACCTATGATAATATTTCTCCTGTATCCAGAACAGGGATTCTCATTCTTGGTTGCCTATAACTACCAGAGAACAAGAGCACACAATTATATTTCCAAGGAGGAGCCCCAACTTCAGGATGGTTTTATAAACTGCACAGGTGATTCATATGTTCTACCGAGGTGAGCACAGTGAGCAGGATGGTGATGCTCAAAGTGGGGTTCCCTTGCTTCAACAGTGCCATCACCTGGACCTATGTTAAATTCTCAGACCCTTTCCCAGCCCCAAGACTCTCAGAGGCACACACACATGGAAACATACACATGGAAACACACACACACACACACACACACACACACACACACACACACACACACACCACATGAAATCAGGATGCCCAAGAAATGTTGAAATGTGACAATGTCACAGAGTATAAGAAGAAGAGAGGGGAGCTGTGATGAGCTCCAGGCCTTCCAGCCATACCCTGAGATGGATTAATGGACCAGGGCCCTCAAGCTGCAGCCAGGAGCTTTCAGGCATTCATCTGATGGTCAAGTACAAAGACTCTCCACAAACTCACAGCACCTAACATCTCCCACAAGCTAACA